GTGTGTGTATGTTGAGAGTGAGCATGTCAATATGAATATAGTTGTATGTGAGGTGAGCATGTCAATATGAATATAGTGTATGTGAGAGTGAGCATGTCAATATGAATATAGTGTATGTGAGAGTGAGCATGTCAATATGAATATAGTGTATGTGAGAGTGAGCATGTCAATATGAATATAGTGTATGTGAGAGTGAGCATGTCAATATGAATATAGTGTATGTGAGAGTGAGCATGTCAATATGAATATAGTGTATGTGAGAGTGAGCATGTCAATATGAATATAGTGTATGTGAGAGTGAGCATGTCAATATGAATATAGTGTATGTGAGAGTGAGCATGTCAATATGAATATAGTGTATGTGAGAGTGAGCATGTCAATATGAATATAGCGTATGTGAGAGTGAGCATGTCAATATGAATATAGCGTATGTGAGAGTGAGCATGTCAATATGAATATAGTGTATGTGAGAGTGAGCATGTCAATATGAATATAGTGTATGTGAGAGTGAGCATGTCAATATGAATATAGTGTATGTGAGAGTGAGCATGTCAATATGAATATAGCGTGTGTGTATGTGTGTTTTTATTAACATAGGATGTATGTGTGTTTATATGAATATAGTGTGTGTGTATGTGAGAGTGAGCATGTTAATATGAATATAGTGTGTGTGTATGTGTGTTTTTATTAACATAGGATGTATGTGTGTTTATATGAATATAGTGTGTGTGTATGTGAGAGTGAGCATGTTAATATGAATATAGTGTGTGTGTATGTGTGTTTTTATTAACATAGGATGTATGTGTGTTTATATGAATATAGTGTGTGTGTATGTGTATTTTTATTAACATAGGATGTATGTGTGTTTATATGAATATAGTGTGTGTGTATGTGAGAGAGAGCATGTTAATATGAACATAGGGTGTGTGTATGTGCAAGTTTTACAGGCACTCCCAATACACACCAAGTCATTTGTATTTTTCTGCACTTTATCTCGTTTTGACTTTTTAAACCCGTTGGCCTGCTAACCTCTTTTATTTATTTGATTGGCTCATGAGAACAGAACCCAATTTGGGTCATTTTGAAAGCAAAGAAAAGAAAATTTTACCAGTTCTCTGCTGAGCAAAGATGGCTTTCATAGACTGAATGAAGGAGACAAAGATTTGATTATGAAATGAAGAAACCAGAATTTTGCTTGGGGCCCAAACGTTGTGGGGAATTTTTTTTTTTTTTTTTTTTTTTTCCTATGATTTAAATATTTTTTCCTCATGCACTCTTGTCAGCATGAACATGTTAACTATATTTTTTTTATTTTCAAAGTTCCATCGTTTCTAAAATCCATTCATCAAACAGCATTTGTAGAGGCATTGAACCTTCCCTCTGTTTGGTACTCTGGCATATTTGAAAGGGATTACTGACTAAAACCCATGAGAAAGGGAGCTTAGAAAAACAAAAGCAGAATAGATGATTTGAAATGTATTCAAGGCTGCAAAGTGAGGGCTTGAAACCTTTAACGTAGATATGACAGCAGCATTCCATTTTTGGTCTTGTAGACATAGAGCATAATAGGAGTTACATACTTTTTAGTAACCGACCATTTTACTAGCATCTTTAGCGATGGATTATCTATACAAGTTCCACTGGAGGTCTTACACTCCAAAAATATTTTCTGGTTTTAATAGGTTGATAAGTCGTAAAAAAAAAAAACTAATCAATCAATCTTATGGGTTATTTAATGATAACTGCTGATTTACTTACAAATGCTTGATTACAATAATAAATATTCATGTACACATGGCTGAGTGGTTAGAACATTCACTATCAACTCCGAGTTCGAATGTCATCATGGTTGATTTATCAGGAAAGTTACCTCTTGGGAAGGTGATCCCAATGTGTGAATCCTTTGGAAAGTACCTGAAAAACATATCACAACTTAACTCAAGCTTTGTGTGAAAAATTGGGTAGGCGAAACTATCGGGGATCCATCAATGGTTGTGGTAGCACAAAGTCACAAGTCGTCATGACTGAGGGTTTGAGCGTACTAGCCTTAACCAGACTGTTGATCATGGCAGATAATGTGCTCTCTCCCAGAAACTGTAACTAATGTCTGTTCAGCATAGTTGCACTATAAACCTAGGGGTAGGGGTTCTTGAGTAAACAGAAAATGTGCCTGAGCAGGCGTCTGCAAAAGGGATTGGCTAGCCACCTTAGTAGACAGGTATACTCAGATACGAGTGGCCAGCCACCACATTCATATAGCACAGCCATCAACAACTTCTGAAGTGTTCCGTCTTCCCAGTTTCACTCACAACACTTAAATCAACCCGCACTTTCTGTGTCACATGCTGGGATTTCTCGTTTCTAATATTTTCAAGAAATCATGTTGACAAATTGACTATGGTGAGTTTCAGATCCAGGTCTTCTGGTCAGAAGGCTGATATCATAACCATTTGGTCATGTGCCTAATCTGATACATAATGGTCAAAATAAAGGTAAAGATATTAGGGTGACACCTTCATTAAATTTTTGCAGTATTTCACCTGTTAACAAGTTCTCTACATGACGAATGTACAAACTCTAACTCAAACATAGGTACCTCTACTTGCTCGCTGACAAAACAGCATAACATGATGAAAAAAGGCCTCAAACTTAATAAAAACAAAAGTTTTATTGTTAAAATGGTTGTTATTAAGAGGAAAGACTCAAGCATTTTTTTATTATTTTATCAAATTTCTTAATCCTTTCTAGCATGTTCAAAATTTTGGTTAAAAATCTTTTTTTTTGTGTCTGCAATCTAAGGAATATTTATGATTAGTGTTTTTGCATTTTTTTTCAGGTGAAAAACACAATGATTTGGAAATTTTTGCAAATATCAAATAATTGTCAGATTTTAATGAAATGTTCAGACTTCTTCACAAATGAATGAAATTAATTTTGTTTTTTAGAAAATCTTGGTAAAAAAAAAAAATATTTTTTTTTACATATGTTACCCCACCAACCCCACTTATTTCACGAAATTTCAAGAAATTGTAATCTCAAAATTTGTTTTATTAGTTAAACGCAGGACTTCTTGGAGAATTTAAGTCATCATTTTTTTTTGTTTTTTTTTAAACAGGACCCCCAGTTAGCAAAAATCTGCTCTGAATTGTAAAATAAAAATGGCAATAAAACTATAACACTGTGAAAAACACAGCTCTAAAGTACTAAAAAGAAAATCAACTTTATATGAATTTAGCTGTGTTAGTCTGGCTAAAAGTAAACATTTGATTTGAAACTATGAGGTGCATTCCATAAGTTTTGATACTTTTCAGGAAAGACATTTATTAATTTTAAAGAAGTACAAGACTCTAATCTCCTTCGAAACAGGATCCCCCGACTTCAATGCACTTGTAGCACTCCAGCCACTTTGTGAAGGCTCCTCCATGAAAATCATCCAAAGTGAAGATGTTCAGGACACTTGTCACAGCCTCCATCTTCTCAGTCTTCAAAATGACTACCCCTGAAGTTCTCCTTCAGCTTGGGAAACAACCAAAAGTCAACTGGAGCAAGATCTGGTCTCTAGGGCAGGTGCTTGATGGTGTTGATACTCCCATCAATGACCTCCCTGCTGTCACCAATGCAGCTTTCCTTCCATTCATCACTGTGAACAAACTTTGCACAAATTTTAACCATGTACAGATCTTCATAAATAATTTTGTGTACTGTTGCCGCACCAACTCCAAACTGTATGTTTATTGTCTTGATAGCTGCAAGACGATCTTATTGTCTTGATAGACGCAAGACGATCTTATTGTCTTGATAGCTGCAAGATGATCTTATTTATTGTCTTGATAGCTTGCAAGATGATCTTATTGTCTTGATAGACGCAAGATCTTATTATCTTGATTGATCTTATTGTCTTGAGGCGCAAGGCGATCTTATTGTCTTGATAGACGCAAAGACGATCTTATTGTCTTGATTGTCTTGATAGATCTTATTGTCTTGATAGACGCAAGACGATCTTATTGTCTTGATAGACGCAAGGCTATCTTATTGTCTTGATAGGCGCAACATCTTATTGTCTTGATAGACGCAAGACGATCTTATTGTCTTGATAGACGCAAGACGATCTTATTGTCTTGATAGACGCAAGACGATCTTATTGTCTTGATAGACGCAAGACGATCTTATTGTCTTGATAGACGCAAGACGATCTTATTGTCTTGATAGACGCAAGACGATCTTATTGTCTTGATAGAAAACTGAGAATTTTCTCAATGGGCACTGATATTCTGACATCACTCTCCCTCCCAAATCTCTCATCTTCTTTTTTCTTTTTATGTGCTGCATTCAGGACGTAGGCAATCATGGCTCTCCACTCCTTCCTACTCCTTGTAGCTCTCAATAAGTTTCATCCCTTTACCACTTCCCTCAGACCACGTTCTGTCATCCACCTGCCCAAACCGGCTAGGTATGTCATGCATTGATTTCCCTTGTCTCTCTTTCCCTCTATTCGACCTGTGAGTATCAGATTCTCCAAGCCCTTCTTTTCTCATCTACTGTTGAATCTTGAATCTCTTGTGGCAGCAAAAAAACAGATGCTTGGCTCATACAAGTTAGTCCATAAGAAGTTTTGAGCATTTCATAAGTTCTTGTAGTGGTTTTGCCCAGTTTAACACAAAATTTTATTGCATGGTAAACTTTGAAATTGTCTGCACATCCTGACTGCATTCTGCAAACTAGTTAGCTGTGACTAGCAGTGTTTAGTAGGATGTGTTGAAGGACATATTAAAGCCGTCTCCTTCAATCTGGAATAACAAAAGTTGGCAGGTCAGCTTATCCAACATACAGTAATGATAAACTAAAATTACAATAATCTAGGACAGTTATGACTCCTCCTAAAAAAATGTCTCAAAACTTCTGGAATGCACCTCATAAAGCTACAAAAAATATATGTAAAATCTCTGATAGCCCTTGAAAAGAAAGTATACCTGTAATTTATGCTTTCTTTTGTTTTTCAGAAACGCTGACTTTAGAGAAACACATGCCTCCCGTCAGTAACTGGCAAAATGATATCCTTTGTGCATCGCTCAAGTGTTGGGAATTTTTTTGCTGTTATTTTTATGTTCTATTATAAACTGAACTTGACAACAACACTTTTAAGGCTTTGTCTGGCATAACTTATAAATAGTGAGAAAAACAAATCTTTTTTCTGTGTCAGTTAACCGATATATAAAATATATATGAATTGAAAGTAATTTAGTATTTCATTTAAGAGATGAGCAATTGTCAATATACTTGCATTATTTCAAACTATTTTTCTCATCTTAGTTGATATAGATATTATTACAGACACAACGCTTCAGCCAAGTAACCTCTGGTCATCATCAGGTGTCCATTGATTGGCTGATATGGGGCATCTGTTGATTATTATGATACCACAATATAATATATTACAATAATTAATAAATATCCCATATCAGCCAATCAATGGACACATGATGATGACCAGAGGGTACTTGGTCGAAACATGTCTGTAATAACATTTGCACCAATGAAGATGAGAACAATAATTCAAAACAATATAAGTATATTGGGAAGAAATTTTCTAACAAATGAGAAATAGACACACACACAGGTATATACAGGATGCAATGGATAAATTGTCATCTAAATTATGTAAAAATGAAAATAACACTTTAACAAATATATTTACCAAAATTACACAAAAATATCTTGAAATATTAAAGAGTAAATTTATTCAATATAATTGCCATTGGCTTGAACCCTGGCCTCCAGATTATTTTGAAATCTGTTGCAACTCTTCTAAACAGTCTCCTTGCTTAAGTAGGTGAATATATATATATATATATCTCCCAATGAAATGAGAATGAATCAGATATAAATTCGAACATTCATAACATAAATTTAAAAATAGGGCTCAATACAATAGATCAATATTCTTTATTGTAGGATATTACATTTGTTCTAATGTAATATCCTATAATAAAATTTTATTTATATATATATATATATATATATATATATATATATATATATATAATGTGTATTTTTAAACATATTTCATCCTTTTTTTTTTATTTTTTATCGTTTTAAGATCCTTTTATACTTACTGATCAAACAAATATTCATTTTAAAATAAGAGATGGTCGTATTGTGTAAAGGCAATCATATATATATATATATATATATAAATAAAAAGAAAGAACAGCAAGATGTATAATCCAGTGTTCTTATAGATATTTTTATTTTTACAAAATAGTGCTCAATGTAAATTTACAGAGCATTAATATTATAAATTAATTGATTTAACTGTGTAGCGAAAAAAACATTTTAAATCAATTAATTTAATAATAATAATAATAATATATATATATATATATATATATATATATATATATATATATTTGGTTGGATAGATGTGAGTTTGTGATCCTGGATTTCACACTTTAGCGATGTCAGACAATACATACATATATATATATATATATATATATATATATATATATTTTTTAATAGGCCTGTTAATAAAATCTGAGGAATAAAAAAGACAACCAAATTATAATATAACAAGAAAGATGCAGATCAGAGTTAATATAAATTTTCAAAATAGAATAACATATTAAAAGATTAAACAGGAATCTATGCTTAATCAGAGAATATAGTTTCCAGAGGGAGTCCTCTAACCAATGACAACAATGTTCCCTGTAAAAGTGAGGCCCACTTTGTTTATTTCTCATCTCATTCAAAAAGGACACAGGCATGTCCAAAAATTCAGACTTTAAAATCTTTCTCTTCATACTTCAATTTAATTAAAAGGCCTACTAAAATATATATAAAATAAATATCATCAATCTTATTGCCAGTATTGTTATCATTTTGTTGTCCTCAAATTTCATTAACAGGCTTATTAAATTTATACATTATAAAAAGCACGCATGAACCATCTTTCATTTTAATTATATATATATATATATGTATATATATTTAAAGATATTTTTTAGGTACAAAATTTAATGATCGAAATAAAAGTGTAAAATTTAATATTACAAGACATATTAAAACAATATTAAATAATAAAAAAAAACTCAACAACAAGGGGGCGGGAAGCAACCGGTTTTGCTCCCGCTCTTCAGGCTTCCACGGGAGATTCAAAATTAAAACAGAGAAATGTACAATAAGAATAGGTGGGAAAAAAAAATATATAAAAATATATATATATATATATATATATATATATATATATACACACACACACACACAGACACAGGACACAGGATCCAAAAAGTTTTAACCAATTCTTCATTGATATGATGAATTGCTTCAGCTGCATTTGAGCCCCACTGATAGTAATGTTGGACAGCAGTAATTCATTGATTTTAGTTCAGTCTAAAAGCCATGTTTGTGAAAACTTGAGAACCAAACTGCAATAATCCAATACAATAAAATAAATAAAAATAGGGTGAAGCTTTTTGTACACTCAGTGTTTGTGTGTGTGAAAATATATATATATATATATATATATATATATATATATATAATGGTGTGTGCAAAAGTTTCCACTGACTTTTTTTGTCGGGGGAAAACTAATGACTAAATTCACAGTTGAAAGTTCAACTTTTTTTATTTTCTTTTAATAAAAAGACAGGGAAACCTTTGCACACCTAATATACACTGAGATCAGTGAAAAGTTGAAAAGTTATCAGCCGTGTCCATTTTATAAAAAAAAAAAAAATCACTATTCTAATGTTTGGTCATTGAAGTACTGATTATGGTAAGCTGGTTGACCTGAGAACTTTTCAGTACCTTCTTGTATATGCACAATTTTTATATATCTTCTCAAAAGATGCAGTTGTTGAACCATGAATGAATGATTGTTGAGACATTTTATGTTAAATTTTGTTATTTTATGTTATAAAATGATTGTTGAGACATTTTATGTTAAATTTTGCACTGCTATCTTTTAATAATGCATGAATCCACTCTTTCCTGTCCAATTTTCAGATTTAATGGCAAAAACCTTGTCACAGGCATGTTATGACAGTTGAAAGAGGAAAAAGCCATCAAAGATAAAGTTTTTTTATTTATTTTTATTCTAATTTTCACCTAATACAAGGCTTGATAGCCACTCAAGGTAGAGGGCTACTGTTAAAATATTTTATGATGTGTGTGATATGAATGAATGAAGATAGTAAGAAGTGAAGACAATGAAGATAAGGGGGATAGATGAAAATTGACCTTGACTTGAAAAGGGTAAGATTTTAGTGTACAGGGAGGCACCCCTGAAAGTGTCTGCCCCACAAAGTGGCAGCTCTTGTTAGGAAAAAAAAATGCTATCTGAATGGAACTTTCACCTTTCCACATGCTACTTGTATTATTTGGAGAAGAGTAATTGGAGTTTTTGAAGTCGGGGTTTTCTGAGCGGTGCCCATTTGACTAAGGAAGAACAAGAGATCAGTTAGATAAAGGGAAACATTTGAGATCAAGCAACAACAAACTAGACATTGGTAAGTTCATAGATACTACACTGATCCTCAGCAGTTGGGAGCAACACTTTGATCCTTGGCAGAGTGCACAGATACAACACTGAACCTTAGCAGATGAATAGGAAGCAACACTTTGTTTCTTGGCAGATTACCCCTTATACTACATTGATCCTTGGAAAGTGGACTGGAGAGCAACACTTTGATTTTTGGCAGAGTGCACAGATGCTACACTGATCCTCAGTAGATGGACTAAGAGTGACCTTTGGTTCCTCAGCAGAGTGCACAGATACTACACTGATCCTCAGTAGATGGACTAAGAGTGACCTTTGGTTCCTCAGCAGAGTGCACAGATACTACACTGATCCTCAGTAGATGGACTAAGTGACCTTTGGTTCCTCAGCAGAGTGCACAGATACTACATTGATCCTTGGGAGGTGGACTGTGGAGCAACACTTTGGCCCTAGGCGGAGTGCACAGATACTACACTGAGCCTTGGCAGATGGACTGGGGAAAGAGCACTTTAATTTGAGGCAGACTGTACAGATATCACGCTGATCCTTGGTAGATGGACTAGGGGAGCAACACTTTGATTCTAAGTAGGTGCATAAATATTACACTGATCTCAGACAGACACTAGAAATTTCCATTTAATTTAAAAAAGGATATGAATATTTTTAATGTGTGAATTTTGTGCAAAAAATTAAGATTAGAACCTGGGAAAATATTTGGTCCTTTGTTTATCAAACATATTTAAATAACTTCTCATGTCTACTTATTGGACTGACAAGTTTGGTCTTTTTAAATCGAACAAAGATTTAGATGTATCAACACATACGCCTTGCCATATCTATACTAAGACTGACTACATTTAATGCCACATTTCTACCCCAATAATAGAAAATAAGTGAAACATTTAATTGTATTCAATTATGTATTATTTACTTTGTGGTTTATAAAATTTACTGCCAAGGCTGTGGAAATATCTGGAAGAACAACATCAATGTTGAAGTCATTGGAGTCATTGGCACTTTTATTACACAAATTGATAAACTTTATTCAGCTGTGCTGTTTTTAGTGGCAAGCTTGTGAAATTTAGCTGTTAAACATTTTATATAAGTAGCATATATATATATATATATATATATATATATATATATATATATTTGGTTGGATTGATGTGAGTTTGTGACCCTGGGTTTCACGCTTTTGTGATCATCAGACAAACTGATTAAATTTTTTTAAATTTTGGGTTTATATAGATTGCATGTATTGATGTTATTATAGAAAATTAATCAGTTTGAAACCCAGGGTCACAAACTCACATCAATCCAACCAAATATGTTAACTTTATCTCTGATATTGAGCGTTTTCTAATAAGTACCATGCATATAATATATGAATAATTATGTATGTATATATATATATATGTATATTTATATACACACACTTTTCACACACATATATATATATATATATAATGAAATGAACTAAGTCCAAAAATTATTTTAATATATTTGCTGTTTATGTTATTTTTATAGATACAAATATTTAAGTAAATGCTCTGTTTATAATAAACAGTATTAAGAACATTTACTGGCCTGAATGTCCAAGAAATTTCATAGAAAGCATGTGTCCTCCAACAGGAATTGAACCTGTATCCTACACGGAACTATCATATAGCCTGATATGCTATACCATTTAGCTACAGAAGAAGCGTCTATTGTATTATTCTAATGGTTATTTTGGTAGGTGATAGCAGTTGTACTTTAGGGGTTTTTAAGAGAGAATAATTGTGGGTCTGAATGTAGTTTTTTTGACTATTTATAGTGTTGTTAGTTAAGTGTTTTTTTTATTTATTATTGATTATTTTACCTCACCAGACCAAAACAAACTATTAAATAAATGATCAGAACTCAACTCGCAATGCTGACACAAAAACAAATTTTTACTAAATTACTTAAAAATTTTAAAAATTAGAACAAACGAAAATCAATAAAATGAAATAAAATAAACAAAAACAAGTAAAATTAATTAATTCAAGGAAGTAAATAAACTAAGTAAAAAAAATAAACAAATTAACTAATCACATACGCACAAGAAAACATAATAACAGTAAAAATAAACATAATAAAGTAATCAATATTAAATAAAAATAAAAAATAAAGTAATCAATATTAAATGAAAATAAAAAATAAACATAAAAAGTAATCAATATTAAATGAAAATAAAAAAGTAATCAATATTAAATGAAAATAAAAAAATTAACATAATAAAGTAATCAATATTAAATGAAAATAAAAAATAAACATAATAAAGTAATCAATATTAAATGAAAAAGTTAATTGTTATCTTTGATCATTGTCTGGTCATCCTCAGGAACAAAACAAAAGTGTTATTTGTCAGAAGAAGATGAGGTAATGAATTCACACTAACTACATATTGGCAGTTTCTGTTAGTAAATGTTATGGCTTAAGGATTATATTTAATGTTATTATATGTATTTCTTTAAACAGCTTCAGTATTCCTTAACAGTGATGACATTATGACAAAATGATTTTGCCATGTTTAGAAGCCAAGAAACCCTGTTACATAATGTATCGTCTTGACACTCAGAATAACCTTGGTTATGAATGGGCATTCATATGCTGGTCACCTGACTTTTCACCGGTAAGTACCAACATGAAGGGTGTGTGTGTGTGTGTGTATATATATATATATATATATATATATATATTATAATAATAATATCAGATCTGTAAAAGGAAAGGATAATCCAATATGTATGTGTGTGTATATGTATATCCTTATTCTAATGTATTTCTTTAGCTGTTACTCGTATTCTCCCACACACCACACTTGAACATGGAGGTGACAGCTACCTCTCCTCCACCACCATGTCTTCAATAATGTGCATAGATTTTCTAGGTCAAGACTTCCTGTTATCTGATTTTTAAAAATATTGTCTGGATAAATTTAAACCATCTTGTAAAATTATACCATTTGTAATTTCGATCTGATGAGACAAATATTAAACCATACTTGCCAAAATAAATTATAATCTTGATAGGCAGATAATGGTGTGCCCAACATAATTATTCATGGGTTTTGTTTTTGTTGGGAATGCAGTTTATGAATGCCAAGTTTATTTAGAAATGTTAAGCTTGAAATTGCACCTACATCATTGACAACTGTGAACTTTTACTATTAAAAGCACAACATCAATAGTGCATAGTTATCAGCGACATTTGTAAATAAAAATAAAGTACAGATAACTCTTTAAGAAGTCAGCGATTGATTTGACACTGTATATTATGATGTTAAACAACATAAGGCGAGTTTTATTTTTCCATGTAATATTTAAGAAAAAAACAATGTATCTTTGAAAATGACCTAACTTGAAATGACTTAAGCCAAGGTTAATACCTTGTATATCTGTCATTTATTAGATGAGTCTGGTTTAGAATCAGTTGGTTGTTTTTATTTAGCAGCATATCAACACCTCTATGGGTTATTTAATGTCAAAACTTATTATAAAGGTAATAATGGTTTTGGTGATGCAATCTTAGTAATTAACTCATAGCTTGTGGAAGAAAAGTAGGTTGCATACCTTTTCCAAAGGTATTTGCGCATAAGATAACAAACTTAACTGGAATTGAACTCGGTTCTCTGATTAACAATTCTGAGCTATTATTCATTACACCAGCCATACATCAAAGCTTACAGCACCTGGTATTCCCAAGTCGTCACCCATCAAGATACTGACCAGGTTCGATGTTGCTTAACTTTGGTGATCATATGGAAACTGGTATTTCAATGTGATATGAATGTAAGACTTTTAGAGTCAAACAGTAGAAAAAAATGGGGAAGTCGGTGCTGAATGTTTGAAGAGTTAATTTTACAATCCTGATTAAGAAAAAGAAATAAATAGATTATTTAGGGCTTGACGGTACTGTGTTATTAGGTGGAGATAATAATGATAGTGCTTGTCAGGGAGGTGGGTGAGCTGATAATAATGGATACTTGATTGTTATCAAGAAAAGATAGCTTACGGATCAAATTAAGCTTCTATGAATCAGGATATAATATATTATGTGTATTTTGCATTTAAGGAGATTAATTGTGAAAAGAAAAAATCTTTGTTAAAAGTGGCAGCTGTGGTGACTTGTTTTTCTTTTTCTTCTTCTATTCCTTGAAGCTGGTATCAAATATCTACACAGTAATGTAATGTGTTACTCAAAAATGAATAATAATTGACAATGCTTCATCTAAGATGGCTAACCAGCAGGAGTCATTCAAATTTAGCCATATAGCTATATTCTCTACTTCTACTTCTTATGGATGGCAGTTGCAATAAAAAGCAAGAGAAATGAAGATGAAAGAAATACTAGTGAACAATGAATAATAATTGCCAATGCTTCATCTAAGAAGGCTAACCAGAAGGAGTCATTCAATTTTAGCCATGTAGCTATATTCTCTACTTCTACTTCTTATGGATGGCAGTTGCAATAAAAAGCAAGAGAAATGAAGATGAAAGAAATAATAGTGAAAAATGAATAATAATTGACAATGTTTCATCTAAGAAGGCTAACCAGCAGGAGTCATTCAAATTTAGCCATGTAGCTATATTCTCTACTTCTACTTTTATGGATGGCAGTTGCAATAAAAAGCAAGAGAAATGAAGATGAAAAAGAAATACTAGTAAAAAAATGAATAATAATTGACAATGCTTCATCTAAGAAGGCTAACCAGCAGGAGTCATTCAAATTTAGCCATATAGCTATATTCTCTGCTTCTACTTCTTATGGATGGCAGTTGCAGTAAAAAGCAAGAGAAATGAAGATGAAAGAAATACTAGTGAAAAATGATTAATAATTGACAATGCTTCATCTAAGAAGGCTAACCAGCAGGAGTCATTCAAATTTAGCCATATAGCTATATTCTCTACTTCTACTTCTTATGGATGAAGGTTGCAATAAAAAGTAAGAGAAATGAAGATGAAAGAAATACTAGTGAAAAATGAATAATAACTGACATTGCTTCATGTAAGAAATTTGAAAGCAATTTTTAGGTAGGAGGCTCCATACCAAATGCATGACAACAATAGAGTTTCTTGAAAAGTTCTTTTAAGAAAAAGGTTTTCTAAATTTAATCCAAAATTAGCAATGGCTGCTCAGTTAGTGTATGCTGAATGTTTCCTTCTAAGTAAAATACGAATATTCCCATTACCGAAGAGGAGAACAGATTCCACACCTTGATCACTGGCTATCAGACAGGGAGTAAAGTAATGCTTGAGTAATACTGGCTGCTTAGTCATTGAAAATTTCTTTATACTGGGTCTCCTAACATTTGATGGGATATTATTCTAGATAATTTATATTTGTGCTAAAAGCAGTAAAGAGCACAGCTTCTCCTGGAGTGGCTGACAAAATATTTCAATTGTGGATGTTGTGTGCAGAAGGGTAATTCTTTTATTAAAACTTCAGAATGAAATCGAACTGACTCAAGGGTATAAAATAAATATATTTTTATTTATTTTCTTTAGAGTGATGAGTGAGCCCTTAGGTATTTGGTGTAGCAAAATGTTTGTTTATAAGGTGAATATTGGTAGCAGTCTGGAGAAATGTCTGTTTCAGTTTGGTAGTGGATGGTTTTGTGGGTCAGACCATGGTAAGGATAGTAGTAATATTACAAATAAGTCAGCATCAATCTACTGTGTTTTTCTCAGCCCTAAGCAGAGCGGAAATCTCATTAGCAGATGACCTCTTAATTAGTACTTCACATATCATGCATGGCTGGTTTCATTGTCATTTGTTCCATCCTCTCCTGCCAACTTCCTCCTCCCAGTTCAGAGGTCTCAGCTTATATCCTTTTGACCAGACTCAGAGTTTCTGGCAGTAACTTTGGTTTCAGCTAATATTAAAAGTCTCTATGTGATTAATTTTTTTGATTGCCCAAAATTATTTTATTTTCTGGCATTCCTTTCTTTTCATTTTTTTTTTTTATAACAGAAGTTATACATGGAGCTGCTCTGATTTAAAGTAGTAAGCTCTGTTCCTGCCAACTTCCTGCATTTTTCGGCCAGGTTCATTCTTTTCTTCTTTTTTATTTAAGGGTTGCCTTCTCATTAGTTTAGAGAGTAGTATATAGTGAGAAATTTAGAAAGAGGAAGAAAGAGATAAGGGTTTTAAAAGAAAGTGCAAAGGCCTTATTTTAATTTGAATTCTTTTTATTCTTCTTCATCTTTTTATTTGAGGGTTACCCTCTCATTAGTTGAGAGGGAAGTATATAGAGAAAAGCTTAAAGAGAGAAAGAGAAAGAAAGAGATAAGGGTTTTAAAGGAAAGTGCAGAGGCCTTATTTTAATTTGAATTCTTTTTATTCTTCTTCATCTTTTTATTTGAAGGTTACCCTCTAATTAGTTGAGAGGGAAGTATATAGAGAAAAGCTTAAAGAGAGAAAGAGAAAGAAAGAGATAAGGGTTTTAAAGGAAAGTGCAGAGGCCTTATTTTAATTTGAATTCTTTTTATTTTTTGTTTAGATACTTTATTTTTATCGGGATGCAATACACGCTCATGTGATGTCATACAAAAATAAGTTGCAAGTGATTAGTATGATATTACAACCTTTACAGGGTGCTTGTTTTTTCTATGACCTTTTACCTGAAATAAGAACAAAAATTTTGTTATTGATATTTGTAACAGAAAAAATTTCTTTTTGTGAATTCAATTCTCAAAATCATCAAATGTTTATATTGAATTTTTTTTAATGTCTGTTTTTAGGTGCGAGAGAAGATGTTGTATGCAGCGACAAGAGCTACTCTAAAATCTGAATTTGGAGGGGGGCACATAAAAGAAGAACTGTTTGGTACCGTTACTGTAAGTGTTTTATCTTCTACTTGTACAGAAAATGCATTCTTTCCCTGTAGGGTGTTCAGAAGAACAATTGCTCTTATGTTGGGTACTTTTGTACCACCCTTAACTCATCCAGGAAACTCACAGTTTACTATTTATTTTTTCCTTTCGAAAAATATATTTATTCTTATTGTAATGTTTCATTTCAGATGGTTAAAATTATAGAATTTAAGTGTAACCCTATTGACAATTTGTCACCATCAGTTTCCACAGCTTTCTTTTCTTTAATATGTCTTAATTGCCATAACTTTTTGGATAAATGGACTAGATAGATTTGCCTATCATCCAGTTCACGCTCCTCCCTGATCTTTTGAATGAGAATAGAGATTCACCCTTTGTTTCCTATTGGTTCTAGTTCCTTCTGAAGTTAACTTCAACTCTAGACTCCTAACCTGAACTGTGAAATTTTATTCACTATTTAAATCCTGACTTCTTCAAATCTAGAATTAACTCTTTCTTGTTATCTTGCCCTTTCTTAGGCTAGTACAACTCCACACAGTAACCCTCTACACTGAGTGGCCCTTGGGCCTTGTATTGAGGGAACATTAGTAATAAAAAATTTTTTCTTCATTGAGAATGACATTAGTTTCCTTACTGTAATGTTTATGTTGCCTTGTATGGCATCCATATGAAAGTCTTGATCTGATGAGACTATTTAAGAACATAACTCTAATTTTTAGGTTAATGTTTTGGTTTTGTAGCAGTTTGCAGTGTGGGGCGAGACTATGCCTGGATCAGCCAATGACTATAATCTAGTTTTGGTTGCCTGTAACCTCTGCTAAAATCTTCATTGAAAGGAACAGTATGTAATATACACAGGCACACACGTGCATGTGTTCTGTGGCCAAGTTGGTTAAAGCATGTTGGATCTAATGATGGCTTCCTTCTGACCAGACGGATGCAAGTTCAAGTACTACCAGAGAATATATATTTTTCTTTAATGAGATTTCTTGAATATTCCGGCCAGTAGATGAAAATAAATGAATATACAGTTTAATAGAGTATCTACTAAAAATAATGTCTCAAGTGATATATATATATATATATATAATTATTTATTTTAGGATATTAAAACATGTTAAAAATCACTGCATCATGGCAATTATGTTTTCACACCATAAATGTGTCTCCTCTGGCATATTAAACTACTGGCTAGTGAAAGATTAATCTAATTTCAAAAGGAGAATATTAAAAAAAAAAAAATGCTTGTTGACTTTGCTGTGATTAACCAATTGAATTCAAATTCACTGGAAATTTTTTTAATATAGGTCATCACATGAAGTTGTCTGCATATAAAACCTAGACAATTTTCTTATGGGTAGATACAGGTTGCTACATTATTTTATAAGATGTATTGAAGTCTGATGCTCAACTTTCCTAAGAAGTAAAATCGAAAGAGGTGGGGAGATAATTGAATACAATGCTAACCAGTTATAGCTTTATCTTACATAAAAATTTTGTAGTTGATATATATAAAGCCCTTTAAAAAACAGGTAAATAACTTAACCATTCGAAAAAAAAAGAAAAAACTGGATCAAAAATACAGAACTAATTTGGGTAATTAATATGTCATCGTTAAATAAAGAGCATCCTTATAAGGTTTTAATTATATGAACTAATCAATTAATACTAATTAAACAGTTGTAGATCCATATAAGATGTTAATAATACTAACCAAACATCAATACAAAGCAATATTAAATTAAAATGAATCATACAAATAGAATAGTAAGTTATATAAAGTGTACAGCAGTTCATCTATTGATTATTACTAAAAGAAAAAATATCAGATTCAAAGTTCAAACTTATTGTAAAGTAAAAGTTAGGCCAAGCTTACAATTTACAGTAAATTCAGTTCTTTGGTTTAATAAGGAATTTTTATCATAAAATCTGATAATTTCTAATTTTTCATGTAAGCATAAAACACAGGGTTCATTTAAAGATTTACATGTTGTGGCTTTTTAAAATTTTTCCATTTTATCTTAGGAGTTTTATTTGCTTCTTTTTACTTCCAAAAATATTTAGAAAGAGCTGTACTATTTTTATAAGTACTATTGGTGAAGGATAAAATACACTGATACCACCTAGAATTCTTAGTACTACCAATATAAAATTTTTCAGCAGTTAGATTCTATATTGTAGAAATAGTACTGAGATATACAAGAGAGGTGGTTAAACATTGGTTTCATAATCAGCATTTGTTAGAATCCTTGCAATTACATTGGTTAATATTACTAATTTATTATCATCAGAAATTTTTTAAATTGGTTTAAAATTTTATTATTATGCTGCTTCTATGCTCCTATTTCTTTTCCTTAGATCAATATCATATTTTCTATACTTGATTTCAGCATATTTGTAACCACTATTTTTTAAAACATTATTATAAACACTGCTGTATTTCCCAAACACATCTTTGTCAGATGAGTTGCTGCTAATCCTAAATTCTATACATGAGGGTTTACATTTGATTACAGATGGAGGGTGGTTAGAATTGGGGTGAATATATATATTGGGTTGGCATTATTTTTTATATAAGGTTGGAATACATTGTTAACATGATCTTATCTAACATTAAGAAAATCAACTCGTTTGACATTAGTAGTTACCTTTACCTTACGATTTAAGCTTTTTAATTTCCTATGAATCAAATTCCTTAATTTGTTAACCTTGATTTTAGTAGAATTTCTTACCACCATAAGACCATCATCTCTGTATAACCCTATAGTATCAACATTAACATCCTCATAAGGACTAAGGTTATATAGGATAAGTAAACCCACCAGGTCAGAAGACTCTGCAGAATCTAATGATCCCATAGAGTTATCAAAGTGATCATCAGAGTTTTTAATCCACTGTCCGTTGTTGTTAATGAGAACAGATATTCTATAGTTTATTATTATATTTAAATGAAAATATCACTGGAAATAGAGTATTCCTTGGCAAATTCTAAAGCTAAGGTATAAAGATCCTTGGAAATGGAGGGGTAAAAATCTGCAATATCAAATTGGATAAAAGAGCACCTTCTTTCGTTGCTAATTCCTTTGAACCAGTTAATGACGTCAGCAGTACCAGTCCATTGTAAAAGTCCAAGGTGTCATTTAATTTGTTTTTTGACTCTATTCAAGATAACTTTGCTTATCTTTTCGATTTCTAATCTGGTAGTGTTGATAATCCTTGTGGGTAGTTTGATCTCAAAGTCTGGTTTATGATCTTTAATTAGGACATACGATTCTTTGGTGTAGAGCTTACTAACCTTATTACTAATTTTAACTTTATCAGTTATATTTTTACAGGCAATGCTAATTCTATCAGCTAAATTAAAAAATTAATCTTTCACTCGCCAGTAGTTTAACATCACCTGAGGAGACACATTTATGGTGTCAAAACATAATTATGTAGTGATTTTTAACATGTTTTAATATCATAAAATAAATAATATTTAGCTCTACTCTGTATTGAGCCCTCTTTTAAATTAAATATTATATACAGTGGAATTATACTCCATTTTTTTCTCATTTTACCTGGAGATATATATATATATATATATATATATATATATATATATATATATATATATGATGTGTGTATACACATATACATAAGGAAAAGTGTGTAGTATATGTGCACTCTATGAAAAGTGTTATACACCCCTCCCACATAACACTGTATATTTCCGTGTATAAGATGACCTTTAAATCTCCAAAATCACCCTTAAAATTTGGGGTCATCTTGTACTACAATTCTAAGGAAGAACCCTTAAATTCTGAGTGGTGTTTGTTGGTAGGCTAACCTCAGCCTCAGTGTGATAACCAATAATGTACATGAAAAAATTCACATTATCAAATAAACTGATAATAAAAATAATAAAATCATTTCTTCCTTATATATTGCTGGCATAACTTCATAATAAATTGCCTTTGAAGAATAATTCCATAACAATGAAATAAACTTGTATCCATGCAAGCTCAGCTGAGAAAATGTAAACATTGAGTTATGATCACAGCAACCTTTATTGAACATTATTGTTATTAGTGATTGTCGATGAAGTATAAGTAAATGGCCATTAGTATACCAGGCTGTTTATAACTGTTTAGATATAGGGAAAGAAGAGGGATAAGAACAAGAATCAGTATTTACAAGAGATCACGTGATGAACCGTGTAGGAAAAACATGATATAGAATTGGTTTTGTTATTTTGGCTTTTTTTTTTAATTTCTAAGCATACAGGAAGTAACAACATTTCCAATTACATCATCTTTATGTTATAGAGTAGTTTCACAGTGGAGGCTTGTATTTTACTAAGTCGGTTCTAAAAAGGTTCGACGTACAAAATGTTAGGAACTTGATATAATAGTTAATGACGCAGCAATCTAGTTGTGGTGGCTGATACTTAATGTCCGACTAACGGTCGTCCGACATTGACTGACTGACTGACCAACTTACTGAGCAACTCCGCGACTGCTACTACTACTACTTATTATAGGTGGGAGAGTCTATTAACAATAGAATAGGTGTGTTCCAGTATAACACTTTATATAATAAATAAGCAGTCATCTTATGTTACAGGTATATTTGCTGTATATTTTTTACCTCATCTTATTTAAAGGTTGCCTTGTATGTAGTAATATATGGTATATATAAAATTTCTCATTACTATAAATGTTAGATTTATTGAGTATATATGATTGAGTTGCATTCCTGTTTTTTAAACAGTAAAATAATTGTCTATCACCCTAATGATTGAAAGAAAACAAAATGCCTCTTGTATTTTTTTTCCTTTTGGTTTTTATCACACCTTCCAGTTTGCCAATCTTCAATAGATTTTAAATAGAGAATTAACCTCTGGTGAGACTTGAATCCCTATCACTTGTCATTGATAACCTGCTTTTCAGATTAGGTTAAAAAAGCTAAATGGTAGAAGTTATCTAAATCTTATAATCTAATAGCCAAATTAGTATGAC